CGGGGTTAAATGCTTCTCGAATTGCCCCTATCAGTTAACATAAACAAAGTTTCGGTGTTGGCTGTCGTGGGCCATCCGATTTGTTCCTATACAGATGTCACTGTTATCTCTGTTGGACATCCGCCTTATCTTCATCAACCTTCCATCAATCCCATGCGGTGCGAATCTTTCGTCCGCGGGCGAAAATCGTAGGCGATGTTGACAAAGTTTGAGTCCAAAAGCAATCGGGTCAAAGGATTGGCTTTCCATCCCCATAGGCCGTGGATATTAACGAGCTTGCATAATGGCGTCATTCAACTTTGGGATTATCGCATGGGAACATTACTGGATCGATTTGATGAACACGATGGTCCGGTTAGGGGAGTGGATTTTCATCACGTTCAACCATTGCTTGTAAGCGGCGGGGACGATTACCGTATCAAAGTTTGGGATTATAAACTTCGAAGATGCCTATTCACCCTTCTTGGGCACTTGGATTACATTCGCACAGTAAATTTTCATAGCGAATATCCATGGGTTGTCTCTGCAAGCGATGATCAAACTATCCGTATCTGGAACTGGCAGAGTCGCTCCTGTGTCAGCGTTTTAACCGGACACAACCACTATGTTATGTGCGCATCGTTTCATCCTAAAGACGACATGATCGTCTCTGCATCCTTGGACCAAACAGTGCGTGTTTGGGACATCACTGGTTTGCGAAAAAAGACCGTACGAGGAATGCCTGGGGCTACCGGAACGCCGATTCCCTCTGCCACATCACTCCATGAATTAGGAGCTGGGAATGCAAGTGCGAGCAGCGTTGTTTCACGAGTTAATGCAGATCTCTTTGGTGGCAATGACGCAATTGTGAAATATGTTCTCGAGGGTCACGACCGCGGCGTCAACTGGGCTTCGTTTCACCCGACACTCCCATTGGTTATCAGTGGCGCAGACGATAGGCAAGTGAAATTATGGCGCATGAATGAGACAAAAGCCTGGGAGGTTGACACAATGCGAGGTCATAGCAACAACGTGTCCTGTGTCGTGTTCCACCCAAAACATGAATTGATCGTATCCAACTCCGAAGACAGATCTATACGGGTTTGGGATATCTCCAAGAGGCTCGGTGTCCAAACATTTCGGCGGGAGAATGATCGCTTTTGGATCCTTGCGGCACATCCAGAACAGAACCTGCTAGCTGCTGGGCACGACTCAGGGATGATTGTTTTCAAACTTGAGCGTGAAAGACCGGCGTTTGCTTCTTACTCTGGTCGGATGTTTTATGTGAAAGAACGTTATTTGCGCGTGCATGAATTCGGAACCAGCCGAGATGTTCCAACTCTCTCCTTGCGTCGTGCCGGGCACTCTCAGGGTGGGCTTGGTAGTGGACCTCGGTCATTAGAATACAATGCAATGAACCCTGCTGAATGCAACCTACTTCTATTCTCCGATCATGATGGAGGTACTTTTGAGCTCCTTGCCTTCTCCGAAGACACCACCACCTCGAGTCAGACCGAGCATACGGACTCGAAACGCGGGTTGGCGCTATCTGCTGTATTCCTCGCCCGAAATCGCTTCGCGATCCTAGATAAAAATCGACAGGTGACATTGATAACTAAATTCACATGTATGATGCTTCTTTTTGCAGATAATTATCAAGGACCTCAGCAACGAGAAACGCAAGAGTGTTGCCCCTCCAAATCCCAGCACAGACTGCATGTTTTTTGCTGGGACTTCTGGTCGACTTCTTTTACGATCGGATGATAGAATCATGCTTTTTGAGCCACAATCTCGAAGGGTCCTTGCTGAACTTCAAGTTGCGCGGATAAAATATGTCATTTGGAATCAGGATTGTAGTCACGTTGCTCTAATAAGCAAGCATGGTATTCATGAACACATATGTAAATCGGCAGCTGACGACGTTCATATTTAGGCATAACCATTGCATCGCGAGATTTGGAGCAGTTGTGCAGTGTAAGTGAAACTGTGCGAGTTAAAAGTGGGGCCTGGGATAGCTGCAACCGCATTTTCTTGTACACTACCCTGAATCACGTTAAGTATTGCCTAGCCAACGGTGATACGGGCATCATTCGAACCCTCGATGTTCCGGTCTATATCACCAAGGCACACCAAAAACAATTGTACTGCCTTGATCGTGAATACAAAATTCGCATCATCTCTGTGGATAACACAGAGGCCCTGTTTAAACTTGCCTTAGAGGATAAGAATTATCCAGAGGTGATGAATATGATAAAACACTCACGGCTCTGCGGTAGGGCGATAATTGCGTATCTCCAAGACAAGGGTTTCCCTGAAGTTGCCTTACATTTCGTAGATGATTTGAACACTAGGTTTAAACTTGCGCTTGCTTGTGGAAATATAGAGGTGGCCATGAACACCGCGTATGAGATAGGAGACGATCGGTGTTGGCATCAACTCGGAGTTGAGGCTCTGCGCCAGGGCAACCACCAAGTGGTTGAGATGTCGTATCAACGTACAAAAAACTTTGAACGGTTGTCTTTTCTATACCTTCTGACCGGCGACACAGAGAAACTGCGAAAGATGTTAAAAATAGCAGAGATGCGGATGGACATAATGGCGCGATTTCACAATTCATTGTTTCTTGGTAGTGCCCCTGAGCGTGCCCGAGTGTTGGAACAGGCTGGGCAATTGCCCTTAGCTTACTTAACTGCTTCGACTCATGGACTATGGGATGAGGCTGAACGTTTGAAGGACCTAATACATAGCGCTGGTCTGCCAGTTCCACTGTTGACTTGCAAATCTGAGCTCATACAACCACCGACACCCATTCTGCGTGCCGACAACTGGCCTCTGCTTGCGGTTCCAAAACACAATCTGTATAACTCATATAGCGAATCAGATAAACACACCAATAGTGAATTAATTGACAATGGGGGGACTCCAGGATGGGATGCAGACCTTGATATACATGATTCTGACAACGAGATCATGAACGACCTAGACGAACATGACAATGATGCAACTGATGGATGGGGCGACGATCTAGACATTGGAGAGGAAACGTTGGATGACAACATCGGGTCGAAGGATGACTTATCCCCAGGAACTCTGGGGCCATCCAATGGCTTCATAGTCCCTATTGCTGGCGTATCCATTCGAGCACGCTGGTGCAGTAATTCCGCACATGCAGCTGATCACGCCGCCGCTGGATCTCTTGGAACATCTATTAATTTTCTGAATCGCCAAATATCCTTGGTCAATTTTGTACCTTTACGAACTCGCTTCATGCTCGTGCATGCTGCAGCCTCCTGCTCTGTGCCAGGGTTATCTCTATCTTCCCCCCTGGAATCTCTCGTGCAACGAAATTTCCCAGGTGACAACAATGTCGACATGAGTTGCTTACCAGGTATTGCAATTTCGATGACACATCTGATAGACTCATTGAAATCTGCATATCGCTTATTCCAGAAGTGCAGTTTCCAGGCAGCAAAGGACAAATTTAATCATATCCTGCTTTCAATTCCATTGATTATAGCTGAAAGCAGATCAGATTCTAATGAGGTAGGGCAGCACTATAATTGTTGGCGTGATCGATGCACTTAAACGTAGGTGAAAGAGTTGTTGGACATTTCTCGTGAATACATCACAGCTGTCCGCTTAAAGGGCGCAAATGCCGCTGAGAACGGTGTTCGCCAAATAGAGCTCGCAGCTTACCTCACGCACTGCAACCTGCAGCCAGCTCATCTGGCATTGACATTAAATCTGGCTATGTCTCAGGCATACAAAGGAGGAAACTTTATCACAGCAGCAGCATTTGCTCGTCGCATATTAGATTTACCAGATGGGAAAGCAGAATTTCACAAGATGGCGAGGCGCGTCCTTCAAAAAAGTGAACAAAATGCACGCAACGAGCTGAAGCTTAATTATGATGAACGAAATCCTTTTGAAATCGATTGTCGTGAATTAGATCCAATATATCGTGGAACTTCGCTGTTGAGATGTTCTTTTTGTAGATCCGCATACACTTGTAAGATGAAAGGTCAGCTTTGTACGACTTGCAATGTAGCATTGGTTGGAATCGAAACTCTTGGACTTGTCACGCAAGCGCAAAGCAAAGGGTGATAGCCGCGTTTCTTATCATCTTTAGTAGTTTCAAGCATGTTATCTATCTTCGGCTTGCGCATATCCATCTGCCATCGCCATAAATACTGATACGGACGTCACGTGACTGAAGATGCGGCTGCAGATTCTAGGTGCATGCGATCAAGCGTTCGTCCTTGGGTGCCAAATAATCCTATTAGCGAAACATGACATATTATATACTAGTCCCAATTAAGCCACTGCACATGCGCAAAGGATCAACATAAAACCACCTTTCCGGCCCGTTACGGCGGCCAATATCGCCTGAAAATCAGCTCCGTCCGTTCTCCCGACTCCTCGTGAAGCCCTGCGGCCCACACACTGCCTCGCACCGGCTTCTGGCGGCCACAAATAACTTCAACATGGGGTTGTATGTTCAATTTGAACTTCAATATGGGGCCGGGCATGGCGCGTTTTAGCCACTTCTCTGCTCCGGGATTGTGTGGATAAACCAGAAGTGTATACGGCTCCCGATGCTGCGAGGAGTCGACTTAACTCAACCCTTGGATGTTAGTAGAAACCATATGACCCAAAAAATACAAGCCGCGCCACCCCGGACCCCGGGGAAGCGGCGAGCTGGGAGAGGACCACCACAACCAGCAGCTTTATTTAGCTGGATGATGATAGGTGGTCCAAACCCACTAACCCGTAACCCGGAAACATATTATACAGACGTAAAAGCAATTTTACCGTAAAAACCCTGCCGCTCCAGAGGCGAGTTTTTCGAGTTTGACTTTGCCGGTGATTTGCCGCCGGCGAGTCTGCCGCCGCCCGAGCCGGTTTTCCGGCGGCCGAGAGGCCCTTCAAGCCCGGCGTCGCGTCCAGCACCGTGACCAAGGCAGCCTTCGCTAGATGTGAGATAAGAAGCTTCTGAAAGCCTGAGAACGGAAGATACGGCGGCGCGTATCTGTCTATGAAAGACATAATGAGATAAATAAGGCGGATACATGCACTGTAATTCCAGCTTCAAGTTAAGCTAAAGGTAGATATTGAAGGCGGAAATCCCGCCACACCCGGGTGGCCGTGGACGGAGCCCTCTACTCGAGAATGGCTGAACATCAAGAACAGAACACTCAGCCTCCTCTTAACTGTGCTCTAGCCCCCATTGCCCTCAGTTAGGACACTAACTGCTGTTTATCCCCCACTAGCTGCTATTTATCCCCAGCCATACTGGCCGGTGGTCGTTGTTACTACACCGCTACCCGGGCATTGAGAGCGACCTCTAGCATAGGAGGCCGAATGTGGCTTCAACCAAAAGAGTGCTTTGCGAGGACTAGGTGCCGCCTTGTGAGCGCGAACTCTCTCACCAGCAGATCACTTGGGCAGATTTATCCCCACAGAGAAATCGAACAATCATGAATCAGCACAGCCACAGGAAATTCAGAACTTATAGTCCACTCATACAGCCGCCTTGGCCTCCATCGAGCCCGCTGGAGTCCTCTTCGATTTCTTCTTGTCTGAGTTCGCCAAGCTTCGCCAGAGATGAGCGATAGCGAAGGTACGCATACGCATTCCCCCGTTGTTCAACATGGCGGGCCTTTGTAGCAAGCATATCCGCGAGTTTCGCTATTTTGTCTTCATCTGTAAGACGAATGACATCGAGCATGGCTTTAGTGAGGTGTGTCATAACGTTGTCCATCAAAAATTCCCGGAGAATCGTGGAACGACCATGAAGCTCGTCATAATCTTTCTGCGAGATATCATCAAATTGACAACGGTGAGCGCCAGAAGAAGGTCGGCTAGCCCTTGGTGTTGCTCCTAGACGAGACGCGGCGGTAGTCTCAATTGGGGCAGGCACGGGAGCAGACGTTTGTGATTGAACATCATAATTGGGCTTCATCAAGAGTGGCGCAACAGGAGGCGGACACCCCCTGTCTGAGTCAAATAACTTGATTAGTGAACTTTCCCACAGCGCGTTGCTCGATAGGACAGACTTTGCGACAGACTCAACATCTACGTCAGTGATTCGCCACCAGGGCTCAGTTTGTTCTTCTGGTCGGCGAATGGGAACTGAGAGCACGGGATTGGCATTAGCATCAGACGTGCTTCGAGGGACAACTGTGGTTATGAGATCATCATGAGATATACTTAGAAGTTGCACTTTGTGATGAAAGAGCTCTCTGAGAGACTCCAGAATCGGCATTGTATCTCCCTGCGTAGAATGTGTCGTCTCATAGCGCCAGTCAAGGGCCTCCATGGCACTCCATTGCTTTAGCTCCGTCGAGGCTTGAGATACACCACACTCAGCATTCGTGGAGATTACAACTATATGCGAAGGCTCGAGCGCAGCAGCGACACAGATGGGGAGTTGCTCTGCATCAGCATGAGCTGAAACGGACACGGGGGCTGCCTTCTCGAATGCGTCTTTGAGCATCGTAGGGTTTGCCGGGCATGCATCAAGCACATAGCCGTGAATGACCAGCTGTGGTTCCAGAAGGCGGATACGAACACATCGAGCTACGAGCTTCGGTGGAAGCGTGCTCGAAAGAGGTGTATTTGCACTTGTGAATGGGCGTAGCTCATCGCGAAGGGAACAAATTTCAGACTTAAAGTATCTGGCCAGCATAGGACAGCGGTCAAAGGACGGTGGCTGGCTGGTCGCGTTTGGTGGCGCTGAATGATCGGCTGCGGCAACTTGGGGGTCTCCGCCCTTCATTTCTCCGTCGACACCATCGGTGAATTGTCTCGACTGCGCAATCACCCACTCAATGCAGCAGTTGGAACTAATGAGAGGCACGTGCAGATACTGAGAAACGAACTTGGCAATGGCTGTGATTTCAGGTGACTCCCCTTGCTGACGAAGGACCCATACGCGAAAGGGCTTCAGGCCTCTTGCCGCAACAAATTCATCGATCACCCCGCTCATATTGCCAATCAAACCAATCTTGGTTCCATCCTCGGATGAAAATGAGCGAATTTTGAATGTGCTCATCGCACCCTCAAAGACACTACCACTGATTTGAAGACCCGGGAAGTCTAACGCAAGCATCATGCTCTCTGGATATTCAAAGGACAATTCGCAACCTTCGAGAAGACCTTCATATGATCGGATGTCTCTTCGACCTGCAGCCGCTACCGCAAATCTGTTAACATTGTCATGAACAAAAGTATTTTTATCACTGGCATTATTACCATTATTATTATTATTATTATTATTATTATCATCATCATCATCATCACCACCACCACCACCATCATCATCAATATCAACACAATTATCATCATCAGTATTAGCATTGAGGTTGTTTTTATTTTTGTTGTTGTTATTACCATTGTTATTGAAGATGCCGCCGGCGTCATTATCAGGATCAGCACCGGCTTCTCTCACAGCGTTCTCTGAAGCAATCGTAACGCCGAAAGACTTGGTCGACGTGCCGATATCTGAGCTGACGTCAAATGCCAGCATTGATCCTGCCGTTACGCGTTCTGTCCACTCATCGATTACTGCTCCTGCTATCGTTGCCAATGTCGCAACGGTAGGCTCAAAGGAAAACATGTATCTCTTCGGGAATCTTCCTATGTCAATAAGCCAACAGAGGAAGCCACACAGCACGCCAACATGGACCGCAGGCACAATGTTATTCCCTGATGATGGCAAAATCAGGGGGCTTGTTAGCTTGTGCGCATCGTGCATTATCTTAAATAAACTTTCTTCACCTGCGCCGTAGACCATGCCACTTGCAATCACGCATGTGTGCAGTGTTGGGCCATCGAGTCGTAATACGTGAGCCTCCAGTTCGACGAGTCCCTCACAACTTGGTAGGCACGTTCGCTTGAGGTAAGCGTCTTCCGACGCTTTCGCATCGCCAAATGAACCCCATGTAAGGAGATTTGATAATAGCATGATTCGTCTCGGGGTGGCCGACTTCTGCTGCTCCAACAGCACCAAAATTGCATGCATGTCATCCAAAAATGTCAGGGATGGAGGACAAGGCGGGACCCACAATAGAACAACATCCGCCGCCATAAGGTGATTAGGCTCTGGCTTTAGGCCAGATCCGACTGCGGTACCCATAAACTCGTGGCCGACTGCTCCGAAACAAGATGGTAACACATCTGCGACGAGCCCCGGTGGGCCGAAATGAGCGATCTTCACCGAGTTTCGTTTTGGCTGTCGCT